CTTATGAGCAGTGAAGTATAGATTTGTTTTTCTGGTACATGTCAATACCAATTTACTATCAAAATGAATTAAAGAATCGTAAAAGGACTGGCCTTCCCAATTACAGGATCGAACTCTCGAGCTATCGCTTGATAATAGCGCTGCTGCGTCATGCCCGCCAGAAAGGACTATGGTATTTGCCAGTTTAAGCTATGTTAGAAAACAGTTTCAAGGAACTCCTAAAGAGTACCATTTCCTAAAATTTTCCAGCTAACAAATCTTCCGGGTTAGAATTTTGCTTTCCGCTTCCTCGTTCATTTGCCTCTTTTTCCAGGATTCTCTTTCTCGTCAGGATTTCCCCAGAGATCTTCGTTGCCAGTGTCCTTTGTTTGGCAGCATATTTCGTCATTAATAGCAATCTCAGTGATTTGGTTGCTCGAAGAGTACAAAACATAAGGCCATGGACATCCATGCCACCACTCAATGGCGTCACGTCCCTCCAGGCCTACCTTCGTTTTTGTTCATTAAAATTCCTCGCTTTTCTGGAAAACGCTGCAACATTGTTGCGACGAGAGAAGCCTCGAAGGGAGACAAATTGCAGCGACGTGATGAAGTCTATAGCATGCGGAGAGCAGTCATTTGTCACTTTCATTATTAGCAGTTGGGGTAAAAAGCCGCTAACATTTTCAAGCACAAAATATCAACTGGTCTTTCTTCTTTCCTCTTGCGCTCCACCTCCCTTCCCTTCCGTTAGACTCGACCATCTTTAGGACAGAGATCGAAGTGTCCTGGCAATGCACGAAAAGTACACTTCGTGAATGCCTCATCCAACACCTCCACCCCAACTCTCATTGTCCATCACCTCTCGAAAAAATGTCTAGAAAGCTTATGTGGCTTAAATTAGAACAAGCTGTAACTGTATACATTTAAACCGATAAAAACGCGGGTTTTTTGCGTACGTAGCAACAAAATTTGATTTACCGAAGATGACCAAGGCAGTCGATGTGGAAATCCAGCGCTGCAGGGTATAATCTGCATGGAAATCCCGTGTTGCGGGATAGTGGATGTAGAGATACCGTGTTACCCTTGCCGGACAATCCATGTGAAAATCCAGTGTTGCAGGGCAATCGACGCGAAGATTCAATGTTGCTAAACAATCGGTATGGAGATTTCGAAGAAAACAGTGCAGAGATCAACAAATAATCAGTGTGGAGGTCCGCGAACAGTCAGTCCTGAGACTGAGGGTTGCCGAACAGTGTAAAGACCCAATGTTTTGGAATTTTCAGCGAACTTCTTCAGACTCCCCGATATTTTATCAAATTTGATCACTACTGCTACTATCGGTTTTTCGCTCACAGTCTTCGCATTTCAACGTATTTTTTCACAATTCAACAATTTTCGGATTTCTTTTGTTATAGACTCAGGTCCACGATTGAATGGCTCGAGTCTTTTAAAATTTTTCCTGAGCGACCTCTCTACCTCAGCCCTCTCTCCTTTGCTCTTCTCCACATTACTTGACAAAACGAATTGGCTGACACAAATGTGGATCTTCATTCTACAGTTCACTAGCTATACCAATAGCGTTCACTCACTGACGATAATTTTGTTGGCGCTCCTCGAAAAACAAGTTAAAAGCGAAGCACGATTCAGAAGCTTTAGTACGCCTCCCTGCCAGTATCAATTTACCATCGAAGCAAATCTACATATCATCCAGCGAATTTTCGACTGGTTTTTCTTCGGACAAGTTACAGATCACGGACAGTGCACGTGTAACGCAATCATGCGGATCACTGCATCAGCATCACTTTGTTACTTGCTTCGTATCACTTTCGAAAAATCTGGATCAGCCGTCCTAATAGCTTTTTGAAAAAACACTTAAGGGATCCTTTTCTAAAATGTTAATCATTTTTTGTGAAACAGAATCTAATCAGCTTCTACAAGGCCCAGCTAGCTTTTGTCCGGCGCTACACTAAATGATCGTCAGTCTGCCAGCGTTCCTGATGCTCGTCCCGTCTCTCCTGAAGGAATTTTCGACTCAGTACTTGCCAAGGCTCTAGCCATTTCGAGATTTCATTGATGCTTGATGAAAAGCACTACCCGTCTTTAACATTATCACCTCTAGGCCACAGTGAGATATTCTTACCAATCAAGACTGATAATAATAAAGGAATATGCTTACAGTGAGAAAGCGAATGAGGAAGTTCAAATATCACTAGGCTTCAAGAAAACAGCGAAAACCTGCTTCGTGGAATGACAGAGCCAAATCCTTGTTCCCACCGAGATTTCTGCCTTTTCTCCTCTCTTTGAGGTCTTGCAGTAAGTGAAAAATAACTGAGAAAAAATACGTTAAAAAGCATGATTACTAATTCCTCAGTGAAATCCACGTATAAGTTTTGTAAAACAACGTATGCTAGTAAGACGTTGTTTTTTCACATTTCCACAAAAACCTTCAAATTCAGGAGTCCGCTGAAAAAAAAAATCATACAGGACCATGCCCATAAGGGCGAATGCACTGCTGATAAAAGCGGTACATGCGGGTAAATGGGTTTCCTTTGGAAAGGCAGAAAGCAGTTCTATATTTTGTATTGACTTTAGCATATATTTATAGGATCCTCACCAATGAGCTTTCTCGGAGGCACTAGCTTCTTGATCATTGTATATATATATACATATATATATATATTTTAAATTTTAATCCTCGACAAAACTATATACATATATATAGATAGTTTTGTCGAGGATTAAAATTTGGAAATAGTTTTTTTACGATAATAACATAGAGATATGTGTGCCGCCTCCAACTCTTCAAAACCTGTTCATTATGCTATCTTGAAATCTACGGGGAAAAAACAGAACACTGTATTTTCGCTTGAATCAAAAGGCGTCATGAGAAAATTAAGCCTATATGAGTGGCTAAGTGCTTGTGTCTGTTCGCACTGCGAAAAACCGCTAAAAGCTGCCAAAGGGAAAAACCCGCTACAAAAAGTGTGAACTGCCCAAGAGAATTCAGAAAGAGAAGAAAGGTGTATGCTGCCACAGACGAAAATGTACATAACAAAGGTGCTGACGGGCTGTCCCTGAGATGCAAAGGCCAGTAGTGTGGTGGATAAGAATTCACGACTCGAAAGATTCGCAGATCGTAAAAGTTTCGATTCCTTTCCGGTTCATCCTTATCTGCAAAAGAGGAACCCATCCACGATTTTGTGAAGATATAAGTGTCCGCTCGCATTTTCAAATGCTGAGAGAAAACAAAACGCTGCTGATTTGGCTCTCCAGCTCCAGAACAGAGATAAACCCAAGCTGCAACGTACCAGGCTTGCTGGTGCGGTCATGCGTTTGTGCACTAAACTCGCAGGTCGCTAATAGCAGGAATGATCACTGCGCTGTAGTGTAATACTTGGACTCTTATTGGCCTTGCTTTGGCCTCTTCCGGCATGCAGGAGGAAGGGTGTCAGTTGGAATGAAGGGGGAAAGCCGCTCGGACCTCCACGTACATGATTACCAGTTTTTTGCATGAAGGCCGGTCGCTTTTTATGCGTTTTTGCCTATATGCAAATTGCAAAAACGCATATTGGGACGACCCTGT